AAAATAAAGATTGGTATATCAATAAATGTAGTTGATTTTGTCTTTTTAATTGTTTAAAGTAGATAGAACTGGTACTTAAGAGTTTGAATACAGTCTGGTTGCGGAGGAGGCACACAGGTAAGAGCATATAGCTACCATCACATGTAACTAAGCTTGACTTGAATTTATTAAAATTAAGTAACAGCAACAAATCAATAACAAATCATGCAAAAATGTGAATCTTTGCTGGGTCCACTGTTGAATTTACCACATATTGTATGTTTTAGAAACCTTAAGGCATTTATAGATTTGTATGCAAGTAACATCCCAAAACTCAATACCTTAGATTATTATTGAAAGTTTTGCTGACTCACTTTGGGGTCCTTTTATTTTAGAATCGTTTTTCATGAGACAGTCAATTTAAATATTTGTACTATGCCATATTCACATTCATTTGTAACACACACGTAAGGGTAAAAGACAAACAACTTCAACAAATGTAATGCAATGAATAAGCTTCATTGTCACAGAAGCACACATAACGTCATATCTAATATTTAAACAAATCATTTCCTTGTCCCTAAAGCATTTACTGAGCTATTTTTCGTCCTCAAATGCCGGCATTAAGTTACATGTTCACGTTCTTCTGCCACAATAAATCGGTTTCTCCAGTGTTATGATAATAAAATGCTAAGTAAGTATTGGTAATAATATTATTAAAAACAACAACGTTTGGGTTCGTTCGTTTAATATGATGAACGTTAACCAGTAAGCTTCAACAATCAACTCCAGCTCAACAAACCATATTGCAATATCTACTATAACGTTATTTCTGGAACCAACTGGAAATGTGAGATTCATATTTTTCAGATACACAGATCTTATAGTGAGGTTAATCTATGGGTTAATCTCATACCGTACTCTGCTCTTCAACACTAATGTGACGCTAGCTGTCTGCATCGTCGAGCATAGCTATTTTAAATTAACAATAACAATGCATACAGTTACCAAACTAGCAAACTAACTAATGTACAAGCATGACCTTATTTTACCAACCTCACCGAGAAGCCTTATGTTTTACAGTATAATTCTTCTTAATGTTTTACACTTCTCCATTATGTTTTAACTTGTATGCTACGGATAGCATCGTTAGCACAGATGTAGCTTCGTCTCGCTTGTTAGCTGAATAAAAAGACAAGTAAGAAATAAAGTGCTTGAATTTCACTTACCGAATAAACTGCATTCATAGACGGTCTGTTTGAACTGCAGAGCCATAAGATAAGTGCGATATTTCAATGAAGAATACTCCACCAGGCATCAACACAACAAACACGTCCGAGTAGCAGCCTGGAGCTAATGAAGCTAACGGGGCTAGCAAAGAGACCACTAGCAGATGACTTCCGTTACATTAGAATGACTTCCGTTACAGCAAGAATGACTTCCGTTACAGCAAGAATCCCCTCACACACACATAGGTGAAACACATGCACATTCCCTACTGAGAACCTTTCAGTAAAATGTTTTTCAGGAGTGTGTGTGTGAGGTTAATTTTCAGTATTGTGTGTGTGAGGTGTTCAGTAGTGAATGTGAGAGGATTTCAATAGTGTGTGTGTGAGGCTTAATTTTCAGTAGTGTGTGTGTGAGGTGTTTAGTAGTGAATGTGAGAGTATTTCAGTAGTGTGTGTGCAAGGCCAGATGTTTTCAGTAGTGTGTGTGTGAGGTGTTTAGTAGTGAATGTGAGAGTATTTCAGTAGTGTGTGTGCAAGGCCAGATGTGTTCAGTAGTGTGTGTGTGAGGTGTTCAGGAGTGAATGTGAGAGTATTTCAGTAGTGTGTGTGCAAGGCCAGATGTTTTCAGTAGTGTGTGTGTGAGGTGTTCAGTAGTGAATGTGAGAGGATTTCAGTAGTGTGTGTGCAAGGCCAGATGTTTTCAGTAGTGTGTGTGTGAGGTGAGTTTGAATTTTGGCCTACACGGCCCCTCATATAATATAATTGTACACACATAAGAGGACTGTGGATTTTGTCCCTCATCAGTTACATTATAATTCCGATCATGGGCGTCGCAGCCATTATATGAGGGTGGGACAAGTCCCCCCCACTTTTTCAAATGATTCGTTTAGACCCCCCCACTTTTACCATGTGGAAAGTCCGTGAAGCCGCACTTTGTAGAGCGCTGTGTCAGTGCTTCACTATCAAATCCATTCCACTTGCTTATTGAGAGAATGCCCAAATCAATGAAACTCCGTACCATGTTTTCACTGCTACTTTGTACCAAGGCAGATTCTCCCATAGCGCGCGCATGTTCAAGGAGTGTTGCCATAGTTGGACAGCTCAGACCTGTTGTATGAAACGATGCCGGTAGTGGAGGTAAGGCAGTAAAGGCACACACACCAAATGTTCAGGAAATGGTTAATACAGCGAAAATCAAAGCTGACGATCTCTTGGTTTGATATGTTTTCTCCCCCAGACAACATGGACATAAGAACATTTTTTTCAAAGAAGAGTAAAGTAAGTCTTCAGATGGTAGCAGTTAATCAGTTAACAGTGATGGTGGCGGCGGCGTCTCACTTCTGGAGCGGACTTTCGTCTTTATGTCATGATAGAGAGATACAAATACTGAATAGTTTAGATGAGAAAAGGCATCGAAATGCCAGGTTACTAGTATTTATCATGTAAACAGGGAACATGAATAACCCCATCTCTCTGTGCTCATGTAAACACCATATCCCCAATATGATCATAACATGTCCAGACGCAGTCAGTGTGTTTTACTGCCTCAGTTCGATAAGAGATTATTTTCTCAGTTCCATCTCAAAATGGTAATGTGCATTATGTTTTAACTATGCTTCTTATCATTCAGAAGCTTTTTGTGTGTGTTTATGTTTTACTGAGTGCTTATAGGCAATGTATATCCCAGTATTCAACTATTTATTTTCTGTGCACATTACATAGACTAGCTAATATTCTACCTACTGCTTGGGGCTTTGAGTCTTCAACATGTCCAATGTCACAGACTGGGACTTACTTTAGAGTCAGTTGTATTTACATTCAGTATGACTTGTTATGATTCAATGTGAAAGAGTATACTGCTCAATAAATAATGATCACTTCACCACCTCTCTTGACATCTAGGCGCTTGAGAGTGAGTCAGAGGCAGAACACAGGGACAGTGGAGAGAGGTCCATTGCTGAGGTGAGTGATGAAAGGGAAATGACAGTTTAGAGTCAATTGTGATGTGGACTCTCATCCCAGAATGTTAAGGAAGTCAGTGGGGATATTGAACAGGAAACATTTCAGTCAAGGGGCATCATATGACCAATATAGACAGAAGAGCAACATTTATTTGAACATTTAAGTCAATGATACCATACCATTCCTAGGTGAACTTAACATCTGTATGGAGTCAGATCAGTCTCAATATTAATACATGCTCACAGAAGGATTCACAAATGTATTTTGCGATGTATAAATGGCTCTCCACAACAATATCTCTCAATGCACAATATTGTTATTGTTGTATATACATGTACAAAAAATGGGCACTTAAACTGCTTTTTATTAATTCAAAGACGGCTCTGAATTAATAATCAAATATGTTTCCTTTCTTTACTACTGGATGAAATTACAAAATGTACCCATCATTTTCCTCATGCTAGTATAGCCACATAAAAGTATCAAACCACCTGTTAAAATGCACCAGAATACAGGAAAACATTTTTTTTTCGTGGGGGGCGACCCCAACACCCCCCGTTAAAAATGTCCCCCCCACATTCAGGATGCTTCCTACACCCATGATTCCGATAGAAACGGATCTCTGACATTCAGAATGAACAGAACATGTGATTTTAAACCTTTTTCAATATTCCCATGATCAAGTGTTTTACTAGCCCAGGAAAATATTTGGATCTCATTCCCAACAATGGAAAGCTTATAATATAATCCCTATAGTGTCTACCAACTCTGATTTATTCACACGGTAATTAATCCATTATACATTTTTCTCACAATACCCCCCTGTAGGCAAAGTAATGAAAGCTGATTGAAAGCATGGCTTGTTGTTCTCTTTCAATTAGTAGATCATGACTGACTGTCATGTGAGCTTTCTGTCTCTGAAAATTAGATTAAAATAGATTATCGTAGACCTAAACAATTACCCTGTTGGAATCCCATGGAGAATCTGCATCACATTGGTGAGTTTCTCTTTAATAAATAATAACAGTCAGTCTCCTCAATGCATGATTTGAAATACCGTAAGAACATTATAATAAGGTTGGGGTTGGACAATAGCATGCCTACGTATTACTCATCATGATGGTTGCTGGATACTGTCTTTGTTAACAAAGCTATTTCAGATAAGAATTACATTTGGATTGTTTTAAATATGAATTAACACATTGTCAGATCACTGTGCTACCCACTGAGGGCTCCTATCATACATAAATACATTTTAAAAGGGGTTGCCAAAAGCATCTCTTCTGACAATAACATTATTGAGGTTTATGGGACACACTGATATTTTGAGTGACAGGTTTAACCCAGCTATTTTTAGAATCATGCAACCACAGCCGATGGCCTTTGAAACTGGGGTGATAATTTCAGCTATACCACAGGCTCGCTGTTCAATCTGACTGCAAGGGCGAGCTCAGATACTGTATTTATTTCGAACAGTTGTGTTTTAGCCAGCACAGTGGGCTGAGCTGGCTCCAGGGTTTCAGCGCATTCTGCCTGGCATCGCACATTGTCAGAAAGTCAAAACCAAAATATGCGGGGACTTTCAGTGTTTGTGTGTGGGCCTGTATATTTATACTGATGAAAGATATATAGAGGTATACTGTGATGTGTAATTATAAGGTGTTAAAGATCTGATGTGTTATTAGGGGAAGATGGCGCCTGTGTCGGTTCGCCGCTCCCTCAGCTCTCTACCTTTAGCTATCCTGTTTTTGTTTTATGTTTATTGCTGCCCAAACCTACATCTGGCAACCATAAATCGTCCCCCCTCTACTGTCGGATATTCCCACCTACCTGCGCCGGTTGCCCTGCATCCTGCCTCACCGAAAGCGCTTTAGACGATGGGGAAAGCCTGGTGGTGCACTGGTCCATCTTAAGGCATACGGCTTCTTCTGGGACTTATCCACGCCTCGGATGCCATGGCCCTCCCGCTGCACGCCATGTGAGGGATCGGTGGATTCGCCCTGTTTTTCCGGAGCTGCGGCCTCTTCTGGGCCCGCTGGCAGCTCCTCCTGCCCGACTGACTGCTCCCGGCCCGCGCGGCGTTCAACACGCACATCTTCGTCAGCTGAGACGCACTATACCTTCGGCAAGCCCAGAGCGAAAACTTTGCATGGCTTTGCTAAATGCTAGGTCGATAGCAAACAAAACGTTCCTGCTAAATGACTTCTTCACCTCTCGTGATCTGGATTAGTGTTTAGAGCTAGCCTGCAATGCCGATTGCTTCACCCTGTTACTAGCTATGCTCAGTGGCGGCGGGTCATTAGGGGCAGGCACAGCCCCACCTAGTGTCAGAAGAAAGTATTACAAATAATGATTACAAAAAAATACTAAAAAATAAATAAAAAACATATAAAATATATTTTAAGGTCATGTTTAATAATCTGATTCGTCTGTACATTCTGTTTTAGTCTGTGTTCTTCTAATTAGTGTTTAGAGTGCCGTTTTGAGCTGTTTAGAGCCATGTGGGACAAAACCCGATCCTGCCCCTCCCTCTCACAGTCTAAGTGAACGGTGATTGTAAAACTACACTGCGCATGCTCAGAGTATTTTTCTATTTAATGTGTGTGGCAAAAAAATAATGACCGTAGGGGCATAGTGCTCCCATCCCCACCATACGTCATCTCACATCATTCAGAATTGATTGGCTGTAAGTACTCACGTGTGCAGTGCTGCGAAACGTCACGTGTAGTTTGAAGAGGAGACGAGAGAGCAGCATATAGCTAGCATCACCAGCGATTAAAAGAAGTAAAAACTGAAAGAAAATGAATGAAGTTGACCATTTACTGGAGCACACATTTGAGACACTTAGTCTCGGAGAGAAACTGGAGGTAAAGCGCCTCGGTGCCCACCATCCACCGGATTTCCAAATGCTCCAGACTGCGGGCAAAGTTAAACGTGGGTTTAACGCTGAGTGGTTTGCTAAAAAGAAATGGCTAACGGCGAGCATCCAGAAGAATTCCCTCTTTTGCTTTCCTTGCCTTCTTTTTGGTGAAGATCAAGGTACTTGGTCGAGGGACAGGTTACAAGGACCTTTAAAGCATCTTTCGGAGAGGACAATGAAGCATAAGAGCAGCAACAGTCATTTGGAAAATGCCGTAAAATTGGGATTACTTGGAAGGGTGAATGTTGCAGCTCAGATTGACAGTGCCTACAGACGCGGCATTGATTCTCATAATAGGAAGGTGGAAGAAAACAGGTACGTGCTTGGTCGGATCATCACCTGTATTAAACTGTGTGGGAAAATGTGAGACAGCACTGCGGGGCCACAACGAGTCGGCGGACTCTCTGAATCCAGGGATATTCAGGTCAATTTTCGAGACAATGTGTGAGGGCGATTCCAGGCTTCAACGGCACTACGAAGCTCAGCTTGTTTTCAAAGGGACATCAAGCACCATACAGAATGAACTCTTGGACTGCATGTATGATGTGTACAGGGAGGGGAAATCGCCAAGCAAGTGGACAACACATCATTTGTTGCCGTTCAGGCCGACGAGACAACCGATGTCTCCTGTAAATCACAAATGGTGATTGTGCTGCGATACATTATGCCTGACCTCACCAGTTACAGAGCGTTTGTTTTGGAGTTTGTGGAAGTAAAGGACAAAAACTGGTGTAGGTCTCTCTAACAGCATCAAGGTGTTCTGGAACCCCTGAAGCTGTGAAAGAAGAAAAAGCTAATCGCTCAGACCTATGACGGGGCGGCCGTCATGAGCCGGTAACGTGCGCGGGGGTACAGACGGTGATGAAGGAGACGTACCCCAAACGCTCAGTTTGTTCACTGCTACGCCCACCCAACTGAACCTGACCCTGCAGCAACTGTGTTCAGCGAGGATATGAGCATCCTGAAGGTGTTTTTTTGCAGATCTAACTGCTTTTTCCACTTTTTTTCTCCGGTTGCTCCAAAACGTGTTGCAGCTCCTGCAGAGGCAACACAGAGACGCATCCCACGGCCACCGGCTGTGAGATGGAACTTTAAAAGCAGAACTGTGAACGCGGTTTGGGAGACCCGAGAGCACACTTCAGTGTATGAAGCATATACGCGCACAACCAGGATGGGATGCGGTCACCATAAGTGAGGCATACGGCCTGTCAAAGAAACTGCGGGACCGAGCATTTTATGCAGCTCCTGGAGTTTTTTTTTCGTTGCTTATGCCAGAAGTGGATGTTCTATACAACACTATGCAAAAACGAAGCATCGATGCACCTGGGATCAACAGCGCGCTCTGCCGTTTCAAGGAAAATGTTCAGAAAATGAGGCAGAAAACTGATGCATTGGCCGCCACTGCTCATGATGGAACAGACGAGCCAGGCCGACGAGTCAGCAGCACAGCGCCGGTGATGAAGGAGGCTTGTGACACAGTCATCTCACAGGTGGAACAGAGGTTCTCACAGAGTGACCATTTGATCGCTGCAAAGCTTGTTGACAGCTCATTCTTCCCACAGCATGTCCTGTCATTTCCTACACCTGAGCTTGACTGCGCCGTGAAACTGTGGCCTGAGTTGGGAGGAACAAGGAGAAGTTGAAGTCTGAGCTGACCACGCTCTACCGCCACAGTGAGCTTCACCACTGGAAACACTGCCCTGTCTCTGTTGAAATCCATTCACGAGAACAACTTGGAGGAAACGTTTGCTGAGACTGAGCTTTATTTTGGTTCAAAATAATAGTGACAACTCCGATGACGACATCCGAGTCAGAGAGGAACTTTTCCACCCTCAAAAGGATAAAGACTTTCACTCGCAACACCATGGGACAGCCGCGACTTAACGCATTGGCCATGCTTTCAATTGAAAGCCAGTTGATCCAGCAACTACAGGACTTCATCCCCAAAGTGATAGACCACATTCTGTCAGAGGAAGGACCGCCGTGCCGCTTTTCTTTTCAAGTGAGCCTTCAGCTTTGGTAAGTTCATTTACTGTCATATATTTTGTTGATCTTCTGTGTTTTGCCTCTGCTGGATCGATTGATGTTGTGACCTCGATGATGAGTGTCTGTGTTTTCCTTATATTTACAGTCTATGGTGTTTTAATGCTAAAGCATTACGGTTGTTGTTATTGTTAAGAATTACTTTGTGATGGTGACCTTTACTCCATGTATGAAGGTGCATTACTATGACATCCCCACGCTGTGTACGTAAATGTATGCGCTCACAGTGTTGCTCCTATGGTCTTCAGTATGTAATTTGACACTCCCACCTATCTCTCTCCTCCCCCACTCTCTCTCTCCTCCCCCCCTCTCTCTGTCCCCCCCTCTCTCTCTACTTCCTCTCTCTGTCCCCCACCCCCTCTCTCTCTCTCTCTCTCTCCCCCGACCTCTTTCTGCCCCCCCATAGTTTTGTACACCTAGAAGAACGCCACTGGCTATGCTAGCTTTTGAGTCTGCAGCTTTTTTGAACTGAAACCCGGCCTCGCCTATACTCTGTGCAGTCGTGTATCGTCCGCCAAACTGCAAAAAGGATTTCATAAATGACTTTTCTGACTTACCTCCGCTGATCATGGTGAAATATGATCGTGTTTTGATCTCCGGAGACTTCAATGTCCATGGTGTTGCGAGTCCAAACCTCTGTGTTAGGGACTTTTTAAATCTCCTTGATTATTTTGGTCTCGTTCAGTCCGTGGCTGGCCCAACACACGAAAAAGGACACACTTTGGATTTAGTATTATCGTTTGGACTGTCTGTATCTGTGGATGAAATCTGTGCAGCAACGCGTATCTCAGACCATTTTACCGGTTCTGTTTACAACTTCGATCCCTTCCGCAGGAGTCGAATCACGTGCCCCTGCGCGTTGTCTGCGTTCAATTAACCCCTTGACTGCCTCACAGTTCTCTGATGTTTTTAATGCTTCTCCGATCTGTAAATTAGAGGTGAGCTGTGTTTTTAGTGCTGATGAGCTTATCTCCATGTTTGACTCGACATGTACCCTGATACTGGATTCTGTTGCTTATTTTACGCTTAGACGCACCAAAGTTATCTCAGAGCCGTGGCTCAATGACTGTACTCATGCTCTCAGACGCGCTTGCAGGCGTTTGCAGAGAGAAAATGGAAAAAGGATAAACTCCATGTCTCCTTATAAATCCTTCGTGCTTGCCTTTCCGACTACCAGACGGCAGTCAAAGCAGCCAAACGGAGCATATTTCTCTGTTAATCTCCAAAAACAGCCATAAACCTCAGGTTCTTTTTAATGTCCTCAACTCAATCATTAATCCCTGTGATGTTTCTCCAATTGTGCCATCGACTACTCTCTGTGATAAGTTTCTTACATTTTTTATTGAAAAAGTATCTGCTCTTAGGCTAGCCCACACTAGTGCTACCCAACCATGTCTCCTAAAAATTACGTTCCCACAGAACGAAACTGCATTCTCAATTACGTTTAGCAAGAAACGTATTTTCTCCCACGTTACGTTCGTTATGAACGTATCTCAAATACGTTTATTTTCTACATATCTTCTAGAAACATATTTTCTCCCACGTTACGTTTGTTATGAACGTATCTTAAATATGTTTATTTTCTACATATTTTTGCCATTTATTGTCTTGCTTATAATAATGATAATAGTCATTTATAAATATCCTTTTAGAGCACACATTTGAAATCAGTATACTAGGCGAGGCTGTAATTTTGCCAGCTGTTACTCTCATGAGCGAGGCAGAAAATAATAGTTTTTAACATGCCAAAAAGCTGCTGTGTCGTTTATTGCACCTCAAACATTAAAACAAATCCAGTTACGTGTTTCTGTACTTCCTCTAAGAAGAAAGGACAATAACAGAAGATCTCTGTGACGCCAGATGTGGTGTTGTTAATGCGATATGATATCCGAAAAACATTTCAGTTTAGGGTGGCCGAAGACACTACACTACCCATAATCCCCAGCTATCGTTTGGGACTACAGTCCCGTTGACAAACCCCGTGATTAATCTTCAAGCTCTGGGATTGGATGTTGGAGTGGCAGTGCGCCAAGGTTACGCCGAGCGTCAAGCTCTTTGAAATGGAACGAAACCACGGCAGACTATTCAAAACTGGACTCAAACGCCCCCCCCCAGAACTACACATGCTGGCTTTTGTGTTTCGCAACATGTTCTCTATGGCACGTCTCTACTGGGAATTGTAGTTTTAAAAGACCGTTTTCGTTTTTCCAAAAATTAGAAGTTGACAGTATTAAACTGTGTACAGCCC